GGAAGAACTCTTGTTCTTCTTTGGATCCGGTTTGCTTCAGGTGAAATACCCTATTGTGAACATCGGGGCATTAACAGCACAACGCGCTAGCCGGGCAGAATGGCCAGCTTCACGGTAAAAACAATGTCTCATTTTTATTTTTATTTTTTTTGAGGAAACAGGGAAAACTTTGAGGAACTCCCATATTTGAGGGTCCTCCTATCTCCCATTAAATTTTGAGAATGAATCTTCTCAAAAAATAAGGAAAACCCCCCAAATTTTTTAAGGAAACTCCTCGAAATCTGAGGAGTTTTCGTTAAACTATAGGGGAGTTCGTCGAAGTTTTCCCATTTCCTTCGAAAAAAGAGACATTGTTTTTACCGTGTTAACCCTACAGCAGCACGCGATAACCGCGCTTGCCCTGCTGGCGACACAATACTTTACTGTCGGTAAGTCTGTGAAAGACCACGAATGGAAACATGTTTAAATGGAAAGTATTTTTTTTTTTTATCAAAAATATCGAAGCAATAGCAACGAATGTCATACCGAAGTGTTCAGTTTGCCGCCTCACCTCATTTTTGCACTTTGTTTTCATTTTCATTTGTTCTAATTGATTGTTTTCGCATTTTCACTCGGTCGATATTTTTTAGAGGCAGCGAAGTTTACCATCGTTAATAGATGCCCCTACAAAGTGTGGCCGGCGACCGGTGGTGCACCGTGGGAGGGCTGGGCCCTCGAGCCACAGCAGTCGATCGATGTGTACCGAGACGCGGGCTGGTCGGGCCGCTTCTGGGCAAGGACCGAGTGCAACTTCAATCAAGCTGGAGAGGGAGGCTGCAAAACAGGGGATTGCAACGGATTGAGGTACAATGAGAGAGAAAGATATGTTTTATAACATTTTGTGTATTTTTCAAACAAGCCCCACGGTCCGCATGTTTTGAGGTGAAATGGCTGGTACAGTAATGAATGTTGTCTCGATATACAGTTGCCGCGCTGGTGGCGCCCCGCCCGCGTCGCTGGCCGAGTTCACACTGGCAGGATTCGGCGGCATGGACTTCTACGACGTCAGCCTGGTGGACGGCTTTAACATCCCCGTGAGCGTGCGCTCCCAGGGCGGGAGCGGTTCCTGCAGGGAGACCAGTTGCAAATTTAACATCAACAGTGTGTGCCCACCAGAGCTCCAGGTAAGAGGCGAAAAATGGTTTGCAGTGTGTGTGCATATCGTCACCCTGCTCTACGTGTCAAGAACGACTTCCACCACCGCAAAGGGTCAAAAATTTAAATGTCTTTTCCTATAGGATAAAGGTGGAGCTGCCTGCAAGAGCGCCTGCCTCGCGTTTGGAGACCCCAAATACTGCTGCACTGGGGACTTCAACGATCCGAACAGGTGCAAGCCGACTCACTATAGCGAGTTGTTCCATAACCACTGTCCAGACGCCTACAGCTACGCCTACGACGACTTGCGTGCTACCTTTACTTGCTCCAGAGCAGACTACACCATTACTTTCTGCCCTTGACATCCATGACATAGACCGCTATATTACAGTGCTGGGTACACTTGGATTCCTAGTCATGAATGTGTACCTTGTACCTTTTGTTATTCTTCTTTAAACCTCTGCTTGAGTAATGCACATCACATATGTCGTTCAGCAGCTCAATTAAAATAAAGATTTTTGGTTTTTGCGTGGGAAACCGTTTTTGGTTTGTTTGTCACTGCACATTTCTCATGTCTGATAATAACGCCCGCTGCTCGTGGGTAGTATGCACCATCTACGGGTACTATCACTCAACAAAAATAAAATCGATATAAAATCAGTGGATAGCCTTCAGAAAGTCAGGAATATATATCGGAAGAAATCAGGGACAAATCAATGGAAAAATCAGTAGAAACAAAAGAAATCAGAGCAAATCAGGAAAAATCGGGGGGAAAAAACAAGTAACATAGGAAAACCCGATTGGATTTATGGGATTTACCGAGGGGGCAATAACTCCGAATTCAAATGTACACATGATTCCCGGAATCCATCATTCCCGTTGATTCCCATTGATTCCCGTTGTGATTCTCATTGATTTCCGTTGGTTTCCGTCGTGATTCTCATTGATTCCCGCTGATTCCCGGGCCGGTGTGTACACATGATTCCCAGAGTTATTGCCCCCTCGGGATTTACAGTGAAGTGCAGTCCTGGGATGCACCGTGCCGCCACCGTCCGACTCTCCCTCTGTCACCTCGAAAGGGGTCCAGAGAGTCCAGACCCTCGCGGGCCGCCTGCCCTATCCGCCCGCGACCTACTTTCATGTAACGGCTTGAACCTCTTTCATTACTTGGGTCCTACGCGTGCTTCCTTGTCGAGTTTTGGGGATGACGATCATATAATGATCCGACCGGATTATCACTGGGCCTGACGAGCGGAGGCTGGGCGGGGCGGGGCTAGGCGGGGACACCTCATCCCTTCCGTTCCGCTGCGTTTGTTTTAGAGGCAGGTAGAAGCTCGAGTACTAACGACCCTGCAGCAGCGCCCCGGTCCCCCACTCCACGTGTGCAATCTGCGTCGAAAGGCAGGGCGAATCACGAAATCATGCCTACGTCACCCCCGGGCTTCCTCCTTTACCGACGCTACAGGTCAATTCATTTCTTACACTCCGGAAGGACGCCCCCCCCCCCCAACATCCACTGATCGAGATGAAGCAGCTCGATGATTTAGTTGATTTCCAAGACGCCAGGTAGAGAGGATATCGCCACGGTTGGCGATTCGTCGCGAGTCCTCAGATTCAGTCTTGTGTGTGTGTTTGGGGGGCTCGTCCCTCCCCATACACGACTCGGTAAACAAGCCTTGTTTGCCTTTGTGCTGTGTGCCTATCGCGGGATTGTTTTCTCACACCCTCACACCGGGATATGGCGTTAATCAGTGCGAAGAGAATGCAGTTTGAACACGGCTTGTTACGCAGCACAGGATGACGGCTCTGGTCGGCAGCGGATTCCCTATGCGTACTGCGGAACATTTTTTTAAATCTCCGTCTTCGGTCTGTGTTGCGCCCAACGAATAGGCAACCCGCCCGCACGGCTGCTCACGGTGCAGCATGACTGCACAGCGTGCCGGGTCTCGAGCCGTTGGAGTGAGACACTACGACACCCTGCATCGTGCAGTTTTTACTTTTTACCATGTATTTTCTTGAGAGGTCATCATCCCTGCCGAGGCGTACATTTCTCTGTCGTATACTTACTTTCTCTGTGCACACGTTGCGGACAAAATAAATAATAAATATCTGAATTGTAGGGCAAGGCGGTGGGGGGCGTGGCCGTCGATACGTGTTGTTTGTCGGCTTATGTGTCGGTGTCCCTCTGCGCCCCCGGCGCCAACGGCCGCCCCCCGACACCTCAAGCGCCGCCGCCGCCGCCGCCGCCCCCGCCGACAAGCCGCCTTGTCATTTGGCCCAGGGAGGCCGCCGACAACGGCTCCCGTTGGGTCGCACCCGGAAGTAAAGTGGGGAACTGCTCTGCGCGGCCGTGGGAGTCATGTCGGCGTGAGTGAGGCGTCACCGGGGCTAACTGAGCAGCTTGCGACTCGCGACGACAGCGAATCAACCAAGGGAAAGGGACATCAGCACACGAGGTATGGCTCGTTTCCGGCGAAAAACAAGCTGCAACAACACCAACGGCAGCAAAACCGTTAAATTACTCCCATTTTCAATAAGGAAACCCCCAACTCCATCAACCCCTGGATCTCCTCCTTCCTATTTCCTCGACGAGACGAAAAATCGCTCCACGTCGTCGCTAAAAACTACTCGACGTGAAACATTAACCAACAACATCCTCCTAACCAACCTTTGCTGCCCTGCTTGTGGGGGATGTAGAAGAGCAGCAGCGAGACAGAGAGAGAGAGAGAAAAAAAATTACATTTAATAATAATAAGCCGAGACGTTGTGCTCACGCCCCTGCCGGGGATATTGATTGG